TGGTCTCAGGCAGCCCTCCCACCTCGGTCTCCCAGAGTGTTGGAATTATAAGCATGAATCATCACACATGCTTTTTTTTAAAGGAGGAAATACAGTGACGAGTACCACTGATGGGCATAGTGGAACTCAGTTCCTATGAGGAAGGCAGGCCAAGCACAGTTGGAGAAGGGACGTGCAAGGAAAAGGAATTGAGATAGAGATTATACAGGAATTTAAAATAGGGGGATTGAGAACACCTGGGATCCTCTGACATTTAAGCTGAAACAGCTGCTGACTGTTCAACAAACCGTTGCCGCATCTCTCTCCCTTTCCTCAGACCTTCCTATTCCCTGAGACACAACAATATTGAGATGGGGCCAGTTAATAACCCTGCAGTGGCCTCTAAGCATTCGAGTAAGAGAGTAACACGTCTCTCACTTCAAGTCAAAAGCTAGTCATGATGAAGCTTAGTGAGGAAGACATGTCAAAAGCCGAGGTAGGTAAAGCGGGCTTCTTGTTGACGTGGAGAGTTTGAGTTGTGTGGATATGTTGGGTCACCCACAACATTCCCTTAAGCAACAGCCGAGTCTAGAGCAAGGCCCTGAGAACTCTCTTCAATTCTGGGAAGGCTGAGAGAGGGAGGGAAGATGCAGGAGGAAGGTTGGAAGCTGGCGGAGGCTGGCTCGTGGGGATTAAGGAGAGGAGCCGTCCCCATCGCGTACAAGTGCAGGTGAAGCAGCAAGTGCAGATGCAGAAGTTGCAGCAAGTTCTCCTGAGATCACTGGTGAAGGTGGCTGCACTAAGCAAGAGAGTTTCCATGTGGACGAAACAGCCTTCTGTTGAAAGAAGACACCGTCTGGGGCTTTTGCAGCTAGAGAGAAGTCAGTGCCTGGCTTCAGCTTTGAAGGGACAGGCTGACTCTCTTGTGAGGCACTGCTGCAGCCAATGACTTCAAGCTGAAGCCAGTGCATCTCTGCCAGTCTGAAAATCCAGGGCCCTTGAGAGTCATGCTCCGTCCACTCTGCCTGTGCCCTGCCATGGTCCAGCAAGGCGAGAATGGCAGCACATCTGTTTACAGCCTGGTTTACTGAATATTCTCAGCCCACTATTGAGATCTCCTGCTCAGAAAAAAGATTCCTCTCAGAATATTACTGCCATTGACCATGCACCTGCTACCCAAGTGCTCGGAAGGAGACGCTTTCATGTCTGTTCATACAGCATCCATTCTGTGGCCCTCAGGTCAAGTAATAATTTTGACTTTCAGGTCTTATTATTTAAGGAATACATGTTGTAAGGCTATCGCTGCCATAGGCAGTGATTCCTCTGATGGGTCTGGGCAAAGTAAACTGAAAACCTGCTAGAAAGGATTCACCATCCTTGCTGCTATCGAGAACATTATTTACCAGGGAAGGTCAAAATACCAGCAGTAATAGAAGGTTGGAAGAAGTTAATTCCAGCCCTCCTGGATGACTTGAGGGCTTCGAGACATCAGTGGAGGAAGGAGCTGAGCTGCGGAAATAGCAGAACTAGGACTGGAGGTGGAGCCTGGAGAGGGGACTGACTTGCTGGGGCTCATGGGAAAGTGCAAACGGCTGGAGGAGCAGCTTCCTGTGGAGAGGCAAGGAAAGTGGTTTCTTGAGCTGGAACTACTCCTGGTGAAGACTCTGTGAACATGGTTGAAATGACTACAGAGGGTTTAGAACACATCATAAGCTTCGTTGATAAAACAGCTGCAGGATTTGAGAGGGTGAACTCCAATTGTGAAAAAAGGTTCTACTGTGGATGAAACGTTACCAAACGGCATTACATGCTACAGAAAGATCTTTGGTGAAAGGAACAGTCTGTCAATGTGACAAACTTCAAATTGTCTTATTTTAAGAGATTGCCCCAGCCATCCTAGCACCCAGCATGCCGATCGGTCAGCAGCATCAACGACAAAGCAAGACCCTCCACCAGCAAAAAGATTGTGACTTGCTGGAGGCGTAGGTGATCGTTAGCATTTTTTTTTTTTTTTTTTTTTTGCAGTAAAGTGTTTTTTAATTAAAGTATGTACTTTTTTAGACATGATGCTATTGCACACTTTATAGACTACAGTATGGTGTAAACATAACTATCACATGCACTGGAAAGGCAAACAATCTGTGGCTGGCTTTATTTTGATTTTGATTTTATTGTGGTGGTCTGGAACCCAGAGATATGCCATTGGAGAATGCTGGGTTGCGTTCCAGAAGTCCCGGCTTCCAGCACTGTCCTAGTTGTCCTTGATGGGTGACTATGGCCAGGGGCTCTGATCCCCTCCTCTGGTGTTCTTTCTGGCCTCTTAGTGGTGTCCTGAGGCTCTGATGGTAAATACCCCCTTGGCTTCCTCTCGCTGCTCGGCCTGAGGTTTGAATATAGTGCTGTGCTCTCTGGCAGGGAGTCTGTATGGTTTTTTTCCCTTTACCTACATAGAATTCTCAGGCAGAGGTTTTTGTACCAGGCCTTCCTTGTGCCGTTTCCCTCATTTCTTACACCTCAATGGGCTTATAGCTAGAAAAGTTTGAGAAGATTTTCTGCTGATGCATTATTCCTGGTACCAGAAACAACTATCTTTGTCCATTTTGTGCTGCTGTCATGGAATACCTGAGGCTGGGGACCGTCTGTTCCTTACAACGTGGGAGGCTGGGAGCCCCAGGTGGGGTGCTGCATCTGGCGAGGGCTTTTGTGCTGTGCCAGCCCATGGTGGAAGGGCAGGAGCACATGCATGGGAGTCGGAGGGCGCCAAGCTCATCCTGTGGTCAGGGCTCACTCCTGCAGTGAGCTGCCCACTTCCTTGGGTCAGGGCCCTGGTGACCCAGTCACTCTTAAAGTCACACCTCACAACACTGTTGAGGGGGATTAAGCTCCCAACACACACATTTTGGGGGACACATTTGAACCCTAGCAACAACCAACCTTTTGTTGCCTGTCTGGTAAGCATAAAAATACTCCAAGTATTGGCATGTCTATTTTTGATATTTTGTTAAATGTTTACCTTTAAAAGATCTTTTAATCTGTGTCCTAGAAAACACTTAACCTTTTGATCCATCCTGAATATGCCTCAACTCTTCAGAGTCAGTAAAGCTTGTGTGGTGCGGAGAGCAATGGGAGCAGGACCCTTGCCCCAAGGGATGCGTGTCTTCTCCAGCCACAAGGAGCGCTTGCTCCCTTTAGAGAACCGAGGCCCAGGCTGCGCTCTTCCTGGGAGTGTGACTGGGAAGCAAGTACACACGGCCATCAGGCTGAAGAGTTTCACCCAGTTAGTAGATACTAAAATGCAGCAGAGCTAAATGGAATGTGTTTTTAGCTTCCCTGTGTGAGTGGAAAGCAGTCTCGAGGTCTGTTGCACAAAGAATTTCAGTTCCGAGGTGGCAAACAGATGGCCTTGGGGGGCAGCAGGAGGGATGGAGAAGTCATGCCATCATCATCACTGTCACCTGCAGGTCCTTAAGGCCAGCAGGATCGTTCTGCCTGGTTCCTGACAGTTGGATTTCGTAATCTGCTTTCAGAAGTCAATGTGCTACTGGGCAGACCCTGAACATTTACCATACTACAGTGAGAAAGGGATTGGCAGTGGCAGGATCCTGCCCAGGTAGGATCCCGGGCACATAACATCAATATGAGGGTACCTGATCTCAAGCCAGGTGAAGTGGGGACCAAAGGGAGGCCCAAATTTTACCCGTGTGATGACCACTTGTAAATCTGAATCGTATCCCACAACTTTAAAACAAAAAATTGTTTTAAAGAAATAAATGTATTATCGTTTATAAACAAAAACACAAGAAAGAAATGTGATATTAGTGAAAGCTCTGTCCTGTGCTGAGAGCGCTTTGTAGTAACTAATGGTGGACTCTGTAATTGTCCAGTATTGGTTTTTACCTAATAAAATATTTAATCATAAATATCGGAATTCTACATCTCCCACAGGAAGGCATTTTCATGCCCACTGACAAGAATAATTTAGCAGTTTCATAGTTGAGTGCTTAATTACTCATAATTGCGGAGGGCAAAATGCAATGAACTTTTCCTCGACGGACATGCTAAATATTTTAGCGAGATGACTTAAAGTAAATGAAGCTAGTGAGATCATTGATTACGTTAGTTAAAAGCAGCTTAAGGAATCCATCATATCCCGCATGCCATTAGACAGTGATGTGTGCGTGACTGCTGACACGGGACTGATGGCTGCCTTGTTGGGGTGATGGCAGACATTTGGGAGTAGGTGCTGGGAGGGGAGTTTTAATTTGTGGGGACTTTGCTATTTGGTTTGTTTTGCCCTGGTCACTAGTGAGCACTCTTAGCCGGTTGTAGTTTGCTCATCAAGCTGATGGGAAAGCTCATCCCGCCTTTTGTTTGCTGTGTGAGTCTTGTTTGTCTGGCATCAGGACTCAGTGGGGAACGTGACAGGGAAGGCTCCCCTCAAACTTTGTGCACACGTTCCCCAGGGAAGATGGCCTGATTTGCAAAGTGACGTCAGAGCAGTTGCATAAATGGAGGGCCAAGTACAAGCAGAGACTCTTTGTAAAATGCTCTGTTAAACTTCTGAATTGACTTCCATTGTGGAGTAGAGGAAACAAATTAAATATTTCAGGAGTTAACTTGTCACTGCAGCAACAATTGTGTAGTTTTGTAAAAGGCTCAAGAGCTCCTGCCTGCCATTAGGGAAGGCTGAAACAACTTGTCTCATTAAGTTAAGCTTCTTCCCTTGAGTGTCTTATTTAGCTTTAGTTCTCTTAATTCTCTTTCCCTGGTGATTTGGGCAAAGTGTCTGAAACCACCAAAGGTAAAAGGTTGAAGCAGTCCCAAATTTAATAATCTATCACCTTTCTGGAGTGTGTCTGAGTAATTCCCAGCAGCTCTCAATGAATTCATTAGAAGGCAGCAAGTCATTAAAAGTTAATAAGAAGCTGTTTGTTTCTGAGTGTGACTAGAGCCTCTTTGCAAGCCAGATCTTCCCCAGCCCAGAGCACTGCTTTCAGCCGCTTCCCATTGTCTGTCTCCAGGCTCCTCATGGACGGGGCGCCTCTGATCGCCATCCACAAGGCCAGGTACTACAAGAGAAAGGATGGCTTGGCCCTGGGGCCTGGGCCCTTTGTGACTGCCCTGGAGTATGCCACGGACACCAGAGCCACCGTGGTGGGGAAGCCAGAACAGACGTTCTTCCTGGAAGCCTTGCGGGACGCTGGCTGTGTGCCAGAGGAGGCCGTCATGATTGGAGACGTGAGTAGTGCGCCCGGGCCCACTTCGCCCACGCTGGGAGGGCAGCCCTGGCAGCAGCCATGGCGGTGGCGATGGCGTCGGTGTGGCCTGTAAGCCAGGCATCCCAGAGGTGTTTAGGGGATTCTTCTAAAGAACTGAAACTTGTATTTCTCCGTAGTGTAGTGAGATCACAGATATATAAATCAAAAACCCCATTGACGGTTCAGGTCAGCTAAGTGCTTTATATGTCTGAGGAAAGCCTCTGCACAGCTCTAAATTTTTTTGAATAATATTTCTGCAGAGAGCAACCTCTACCTAACAAATTCTGCCATTATCGGTTTATTGATTTGTTCTCTTAGCATGCTTTATGGAAGAGCTTCCTGATCAGTGTGCCACAAATAGCTAAAGGTATTGAGCCCCCAGGCCCTCTGGGTGACGGGCTGGGCCTGGGATGATGAGAGGCCTTGGCTGGCCACCTCCAGGGTGATCACCTTGTCTGTGCACCCCCGAGCTGCTTCCCGTGAGTGTTAGGAAGGGAGCGCTCTGGGAAGCTCACTGCCTGCCATGTGGCAAGCTGGTGGCAGGGCTTATATTTCAGCCCCTAAGTAATTGCTTGTCGGGCTGAGAGGGATCCTTGCGATGGTCTCGTACAAACTGCCTCGTTGTGTGGGCCAAGAAACCAAAGACAGACTCTCCATGCCCAAATTCCACAGCTCATGAGTGGCACAACTGGAAGTGGAACTTGAAGCCGGGCCCCCCCTGCCCCCCACTGTCTAGCCTGCCATGGTGGATGTGTGTCCCAGTCCTCCTCCTAACATTTCTGTGATCATGCACCTCACATTGAACAGTCTCCTCCCGGCAAGACTTGAGCTGCCTTTCCTAGACACACGTGTCTGAAGAGGTAGCTGCCTGGGCTGGAGATGCCGGCCCTGCAGCAGGCGGGTGGCAGGGAGGGCCTGCTGTGTGGGCTGCTTGTCATCCAGAAAGGAGAGTGGCAGTTTTCCCCCCTCCTCATCTTTTTCTCACCTGCCTTCCTCCTCTCCCTCTCCCCCATCTCCACTTCTCCAGCAAGGCAAGTTTAGCTGTAACAGAAAAGGTTTTATGTTGGACCATGAATGAAGATTTGGACATTTTGGACATTCTGAAACTCATGTCCATGGGCCACTGGCAAATAATATTAGTGATTTTTTTTGGTGTGTATTAATGATTTTTAAGGAAAAAAGCCTTCGGGTGTGGTCTAAATGAATCCTGCTGTAGACACTGGTTTTCTTGATGTCTCGTCCATCCGTGGGTTTCTAATCCCTATGCATTCACCGTCACAAGCCACCAAGTATACTTGTCCCTGTCTTGAATAAAATTAGAAAAAGGAGCTCCCTCATCAGACTGACCTGTTATTCCCAAGTCCCAGAGCATCAGAGCATCCCAGAGCCGTTTAAGTCTAAGACTGAACTTGGCTTCTGCTGTTCTGGACAGCTGGATGGAAAGCAAGGACAGTGCTGCAGAGGTCCAGCCTGTTCGCGGTCTGCAGTTGGTGGTTTACTTTGGCGCCAGCAGCTGGGTAGCATGCGTTTCCCCACAGTCTGCTGAAAGGAGGTAGACCTCTGTGTGGCCGGGCGTGGAGACATGTGACACTGCTGTATGTGTTGGGCAGCTGGGATGACCACACTCTTTACCCCTTCCACCCCGGGACGCTGCCCTTTCCAAATGTGCTGTATCCTCACAGTGTTATGTGTGGGTTCACCCCTTTTCACCTCTCTTTATCTTCAGAGAAATGTTTGGGATTGCGGTGGCCATCAGCCCAAAGAGCAGTTGGTGAGGCTTGTTGGCCACGACCTGGAGGCACTGGGCTCAACATTTTCTTTGTGATTTTCCAGGACTCCAGGGATGATGTTGGTGGGGCCCAAAGTGCCGGCATGCTGGGCATCTTAGTCAAAACGGGTGCGTATCTTCTGGGGGAGTCCCTTCTGAACCAGCCTAGTAGAATACACAGCAGCCTAAAGAACAGTCTTTGCAGAAATGATGACAGGGCCTTGGACACTTTTATTCTCTTTCTGCCACAAAGCGAGCAAAAATAAATTGAGTCCAGGGGCTAGGTGTGGTGGCTCACACCTGTAGCCCCAGCACTTTGGGAGGTTGAGGTTAGAAGTTTGAGACCAGCCTGAGCAACATAGTGAGACCCACTCCCATCTCTACCAAAAAAATGTAATTATTTAAATGACTTTAGGATTACAGGGAAACAATAGGGGAGGCCCTGTGCTGTACAAAGCTAGGGTATCAGGGCTCGGAGACCTTTCAGCCGTTCCTAGCTGTGTATGTCAACCATACACAGCTGACAACAAGCACGTGTAAATTTCCTGGACATACAATTCACCTCATCAGAATGACGCAGAGGACTGTGGGGTGTGGTGCTCTGTGAATACCTTTGGTTTCTGAGCCGGCTGTAAGATGGCAATGTTGTTCTCTCTAGGAACCGGCCAGTTAAGTGAACTGATCCTTGGTGTTCATGTTTGCACTTTTAAAAAACTTTTTTTTATTGTCTTTCCACTTATTGTTTTAGGTGGCCAAAAGTTTAGGAAGTATTTCCGGCACCAATATTAGGGTTACCCTGTATGGTCCCTCCGATAACGAGGGAAGAGGAAAGACCCTTTAGAAAAGGGAGAATTCTGTGAAGAGAGTGTCATGACTACGGCAACTGGCCAAGTGTCTTGGTCCTGGCCTCACTCTGCTCTGGCCAAGCTCTTCCCCTTCCCCGGGCCCTGTAAGAATGATGGACTAGACTGTCCCTCTGGTCCTCTGTGGAGTGTGACCAGCAGAGTCATTACTGGGTGAAAAAAGCACAGGTGCGAGAGCTGAGAATGGGGCCCAGTGCTGCCACGGGGAGTTCAGTGGCTTTTCCAGTTACGACGGAAAGCCCTCCCCAAGCCTGCCACCCAACGGCACCCGCTGCATTGGGAACTAATAGCACATGACAGCTAGAAATCTTGCCCAAGAATTGCCGTTGCACTTGTATAAATCAAATAGATAAATGGTTCCCTAGATGTCTCTGTGAGCTCCTTTGCCTGGTTTCACATCATGGTAGTAAAGCTATTTAACAGGCCATGCACCAAAGGGAAGATTTAGACGTAAAGTCGCAGAAGGGTTATTGCTGGGAAATTCTTTAGAAAAAGTGACTGTGATTTTTGTTCAGGAAAATGTGGTTGCGTAAAAGCTATTTTGAGTTTATAATGGAAACAGGAAAATGTAGATTGAGCCACAATTGAGTAAGCAGTACATGGCAAGGTTCTGTACAGGGAAGATGCCATCTGCTCGTGCCTGAGGCCTGGGGTGACGACTGCAGCCATGCAGATAGCAGCTCTGGTCACTCCAGAGTGAACACAGTGGGTGTTTCTGGAGTTCTCCGTCAAAACAGTCTTCACCTGCCTGGGAACATCCCAGCCTGTGATGTCAGCAAAAGAGAGGAAGCAGGAAGAGAGGAAAGCCAGCCACACTCCTGCTGCAGTGTCCTGGCCTCCCAACTCCTGCCTTTTGCTGTCTTGTCTTGTGCTCATGGAGGAAACACCAAGACGCTGTTTCTGTGCTCGTGTGTTGTTCCCACAAATGTATCTCTTTATAAAGCTCGTGGGATTAAGGATTTTTCACTAAGTGTTGGAACAGGCTCCATGCTGGCATCTCGGTGGCCCGGCTCCCCCTTCCCACCAGCTCTGGTTATGACCAACCTGCCTCGGGGCCATTGGTTTAGTCTTTCAGAAGCCAACAGCATAACAGATTCAATATTTGCCATTAGCACAGAAGCTAAGGCCACCGTGACAGCAGCACTCTGTTACAAAGAGCTTTGCTCAAAACCTTGCGACCAGGGCATGTCTGCAAGCAGGCAGGAGGGCTGCTGACTGATACATTTTAACTCTGATACATTTTAACTCAGTGCATAGCCTTGAGTGACTTTGTTTCTTAGTGGGCAGCACAAGATAGATGCTCAGTAATTCGCCAATAAGGCTTGTCTGCTAGTCCTGGCCAGAGTTTATTTCTGTCCTACCTGTCAAGCAGTCTCTAGGCAAAACAGGACCTCTCTCTGTCATCAGCATTACATCCTGTGGTGCCCTCCACTCACCACCCATCCAGGAAGGCAGGAGCGACGCAGGTGTTTCATTTGCCCAGCAAACACAATTGAGCGCCTGCTGTGTACGAGCACAGTGCTGGGTGCTGGAACTGGAACACATGCCTTAGCCACGTGGGTCAGTGTGTACTTGGTGGAATCCCCACTTGCAGAGCCAGACTAAGCAGAAGATTCTAGAATCCCTTAACTCCATGGCTAAGAAACTTACTTGTTCCTAGGACCACTGGCTCCAGGAAGGGTGGTGTAGCAATAGTCATTAGCTCACCTGAGACAAAATAGAAGACTTGCAAAAGAGATGATACTCAGCAGGCCTTGAGCTTGAGAAAAAGCTGGCTGTGGAGTTGGCTGCAGGGGAGGCATGTCATGGGTACCTGCACAGGTCAGATGCCGGCTCCTCTCCCGTAAGAATGTTTAGTCAGTAAAAGCAGACAGGAGGCCTCTTCTCTCTGTGATGCGACGATGTGGCGCAGTCTCCAGGCTTTTGTTTGTCAGGCAGAGCCTCAAGGGAGATTGTGGAAAGAACTGGGTTTAGGCAGAGAGAACCAGGAGACCCAGAAGAGGGAGAAGCAGAGCTTGCAGGAGGAGGAGGGAGCAGGAGAAAGGCGGGCGCCTCCCTCCTGCCCTCCTTTCTTCCCTCTGTTCGTTCTTGTAAAACAGTCACATTTGCAGGTGCTTGCTCTGTGTTGGTCACTCCACTAGGCACTGGGAGCACAGGCCCTGCTCTCAGAGAACTCGGTCTTAGCTGGGGGACAACACCAAACAAGTGAGCACATAAACATAAGCTGTCTGTCATGGGGACAAAGAACAGAGTGGACAGGGTTAGTGTGTGGATGGGAGGGTGGGAGTGGCGGAAGCGGGAGGAAGGTCTCCCAGTGAGAATAATGTTCCAGGCCCAGGGATGGGCAGGTGGGAAACCCCAGAAAAGCCAGGCTCAGGCTGGGGCTGTGGCCTGGTGAGCTGGCAGCTTGTGCTGAGGCCCGAGTGACAGAGAGCCTGGTGGGCAGCAGTAGAGGCCTGGGGGTCTTTCTGAGGGGCACTGGGACCCAACAAGGTCTTGAAATAGGGCCCCATGCCTTGTGATTTGCACTTTTGAAGGTGCTCAGTGACCCGTGTGGAGAGCTTCTCTGGTGTGTGTGACATTGTGGGGTGTGAAATCATGTGCTTGGTGCTGGCACGCAGGCCGCCTTGGCCTCCAGGGTCAGGTGGCAAGCTATCCCTGGCACCCTGTCCTTCCTGGCCTGGCTGTGTGCATCCGTCACTCCTGCCCTCCCACCCCAGGCGTTCTCACAGGCCGGTCCCAGGGTCCCTGCTTGGCCACAGCATGTGCTGTCCCCAGTTCCCCTCAGGAGCAGAGTCCTCTGCCCCTGGGTGTGGGATTCCCTCAGTGTGGCACCGAGTTAATCAGCATTCTGTGTTGAGGGCCGAGGGCCAGGGAAGAATGTGATTTAAACACTGGAGGTTTGAGGTGAGCCTTAGCTGACCCGGGACCTGTGACAGTCACTGTGAGTGACCAGAGGGTCTGGGAATGGGCTGAATGTGGCATTTCTTTGAATCGCCTCATCATATTTGGAAGCCTCGGAAGATGCTCTGGGGACTTGGGGTCCTGATCATGTCCCGATCGTCAGGTGGTCCAGGGATGACCCGGGCACTCGCCGTGTGACTGACAAAGCGTTCTGCTCAGCTCACAGCTTTCCTTTCATTTCAGGGAAGTACCGGGCAGCGGACGAAGAGAAGATCACTCCGCCCCCTTACCTGACCTGCGAGAGCTTCCCGCACGCCGTGGAGCACATTCTGCAGCATCTGCTGTGAAGCAGCTCGAGATGCAGCTCCTGGCACTGTCTGCAGTGGGCCCGTCCCACCCGGTGCCCACATCGCGAGACACACGCCTCTGCTGGGCACATCTTCATCCGCTTGTATTGTGCATTGATGAGAAAGAAAGGTTTTGAATTGCAGCCAGCCACCAAGTCTTGCCAAGAATCCCTTCTGTTGGCTCTGTAACGAAGATGAGACCCAAAGAAAAGGAAAGCTGAGATTTCGAGCCATTTCTTTTAAAATATTCATCAGGTAGGCAGGGCTGGGAGGAGAAGCCACTGCAGCCAAGAGTGTTCTCCCTCCGCTGACACCCCTGGAAGATGAGGGGAATTCAGGCTGCGAATAAGGGTGAATGGCGGCTTTTACATGATAAAGCAATGCATTATGGTGCAGGAAGAGCCTTGCTGTCAATCCAGCTGAAGTCACCGGTGCCCGTGGAGGGTGAGGCAGGCGCAGAAGAGGGAGCTGCCCCTCAGCCTGGGCCGCGCGTGAATTCGCCTTCACAGATATTGAAAGTTAAATCTGCTGCCATATTCCCAGCACGGGTGACTTATTTTTCTCTTCATTAGCCAGAGACGACTAATTTAAATTTAGAACCGGATTTTAATTTAAAATAATATTTCCATTAATAACCTATTCATTGCAGATACCTATTATACTGTGTAACAGTTGTTTTGGAAATTTTATGTAAAATTAAAAACTATCAGTATTTTACAGATGTTTTAATTAGACATTGTTATTAACAGGAACAGTGCAGAAACTAAAATCAAGCCTTTACTGTCTTACAGACCGTGCATTTTTGAAGTTAGTGTCCACCAGGGTCCTATTCACTGTACATTTGCAAGATTTCATTATTTTTGCCTCTGACACTATGGGAAAAATCTGTTGGCACTACTGGGACAGATTCAGGCTTTTATGTACTTGGTTACTTCAGCTGTAAGATGAAATCTCATCGTGTAGCCGCATTCTTCCTCTCATGTTAAACCCACCAGAGTGAAGGGGACTGAGTGGGTAATGATTTTCCTCATACATTTGCATACTGTGATCATCCTGGGCCCTGGCAGTTGCTTTATGGGGCTCTTGGGCATTGAATTATTAGAATGTAATTGTACATCATTGTAGAGTTCATCTTATTGAAGCACACAGATGTTAATGAGCTTCGGGTTTTGGTGCTTGTTTAGAGATCAGCTTGGGCTTGGTTCAGAGGGAGCGAGAAGGAACCAGCTTAGGGTGGTGAGTGCTCTGTCCTTATGTTTGTACCGGCCAACTCAGGATTCCTGCATCCCAAAGGGCAGAAGACGAGAGGGGTGACTCCCACCCAGGTCAGAAGGGCGAGGGAAGGGCTGGGCGCGCAGGCCCTGAGCCGGGCAGCATGTAAGAGCCCTGGCCATGGGCAAGTGGCCTCAAATCACGTGCCTCTTCTCGTCTATAAAATGGAGACCATGCTAGTCTCCACAGGGTCGCAGTGGGTGTGAAGGGCTTGAGCTTTGTGTCAGGCACTTGGAACAGAGCTGGTGGGCACTGCGTGCAGAGCATTGGGGATGGTGCTGGCACAGGCAGGGTGGGGCCATCCACACTCTCCAGCCAGGAGAGGGCTTTCCTGAGGATGAGGAAGAGAGGCTGTGCTGTGCGTGGGCTTCCTTGGGCAGGGTCTCAGGAGAGGCTGGGCAGGTGGGAGCTGAGGAGAATGCACGGGGTGCTGCTCGAAGACACGGCAGACATCCGACTCTAGCACCCCTCCTCTGCCATCTCCACTGGCTGCAGCATGAGCAGGACATCCCTTCTGCCCCCATGGCACTGTGAGATGGACTCAGTCTTCACACGTGAGTGCTCCTCCCCCCACGAAGCAGGGCTGAAGCCCATTTTAATTTTGCTACCCCGTTAGTGTTTCATCATTGTTTTTTACATCTACTGCAACACGGGTGCTCAGATGGCTACTGAACCAATAAAAACCAACTGAAACTATTTCAGGAATGCCATACTAGAAAGCATAGCTGGGAGTCGGGAGGGGAAATGCTGCATTTTAGACGTGTTACTTTAAAGACACCCACAGGGGAGGCCCCGTTAGACTCTTGGAAGTGATGGATCTCATGCTCTGGAGACATAGCCAGAGCCAAGGAGTGACATCACTGGTGGGTAAGAGGTCAACAGCAGCAGGAGTGGGACAGCCTCAGAGTGTGACGGCCCAGCCGGGACCAGCCGGGAGAAATGGCTTCTCGCCTGTCCTCAGGCTGCTGTGTCACTGTGGGCCATGCAAGCCTCTGTCATTGGGGAGATTGGTTTAATCATGTTCTTCTGGGCTTACCAACTGTCCACAGAGAGTCTGCCTCGGGCCTTCTGGAGGCGACTTATCGTCTGAAGGCCTTTATTTCTTGGCCATCCCACACAAAGAGCTGTCTTATGGTACTAACTTCAGGGACAGTGTTTGTCTGTTTTGCTATAATCCCGTCCTGGGCCAGAAAAGGGACGCAGTGATATCTTGGGACCAGAAAGGTTATTAGACAACACCCATTGTCAGGAGTGGGGTGACTCGCACCTGCCCAGCCCACGCGGTGTAGGGGGAGCGAGTCCCGCCCCTGCACTCACACCTCTGGTCAGCCAGGGCTCAAGTAGTTCTGCCTTCTCAGCGTCCTACATCTGCCAGCGCTGCCCTGTCGGTTTGGAAAGGGAATGGGGTTAGCCCACCAAGGGCCTGATGACGCTACCATTGAGCTTCACCCAAGCTGTGACGTCAGAAATGCCCTCGGGTTGACAGTGTTGGTCGCTCCACCTTGAATTCCACACTTTAAGTGGGCAGCAGTGCGTGGGATGGGGGGTTGGAAAAAACCTACACGGGTTGGTTCATTCGGTTTTGGGTCAGTGGTGGTTCATGTGGGGAGAGCCGGAAGTCCCTGGGCACCTGTGAAAGAGAACTTGACAAGCTGCCCTGATCTGTCGCACGAAGCACTGTGTCCCCAGCAGGCTCCCCCGGCCACGTGGCAGATGCTTGTAGATGGCGTGCTTGCATCCTCACGTTCACCTGACACACTCGGTTGTTTATTGGCAGAGCGCACAAGACCTTTGCTGACTTGTGTCCTCCCAGTCCTCAGGCCCCCGTCCCTAAGTCCCTAAGCATGTTGTCATCTCAGGAGCAGCCAGGAGGTGCCAGGCACCAGAAGCCACTTGTCTAATGTGAGCCATAGATCTCTTCTGGTCCCACGGCCCTGAGCACCCTCTCTCCAGCTCTTCCCTTCACGTTCCCACATTTCAGCTCCTTACGGTTTCTCGGGCTGAGGAAATCAGCAGTCTGCTACATGCTGTGGGCCAAGCCTAAGGAAGATGACAGCAGAGGCGGCCCTGGATCCTGGGATGCGTGGCATGTGGCTGGGGAGCTGGCGCTCACGCAGACGGGCCTGCAATTCAAGGTCGGGACGGCTGAGAGGACTGTGCGAGGACAGAGTCCGTGGGCCTGAGGGTCGTGATCCAGGGGCTGAAGCAGGTGTGCACTGAGGTGGCCTTTGACCTTCATCAGCAATAACGAATGTTTCATTCATTCATTGGCAGTCAAGAAAAGGGCCGGCCAGGCGTGGTGGCTTAGCCTGCAATCCTAGCGCTTTGGGAGCCCAAGGTGAGAGGATTGCTGAGCCCCTGGGTTCAAGACCAGCCTGGGCAACCTGGTGAGACCTCATCTCTACGATAAATAAAAAAAAATTAGCCAGGCATGGTGGTGCACGCCTGTGGTTCCAGCTACTTGGAAGGCTGAGGCAGAAGGATCGCTTGAGCCCAGCAGGTCAAGGCTGCAGTGGCTGTGAGCGTGCCGCTGTACTCCAGCCTGGGTGACAGACTCCAACACAAAAAAATAAACAAAATAGCCTCTAATTTGGGGGAAGCATATATTTTAAAAAAAAGGACCACAGTAGTCCTGGAACTTCCGCTGAAGAAGGTGAACAGTGAGACCCGTGCACATCCACCCCGCTCCGTGACATGGTGGGAGGCCTGACAAGTGACGGAGGAAGCAGGGTGAGGTCAGGTTGCTCCAGGTAAGTGCGTGGTTGGGGCGGACGGAGAGCAGGGTATGCACGGGCTGGGGGTCACCTCAGCTGCCGGCAGCCACACGTCAGGAAGCTCCAGGGAGACCAGAAGAGCTGGTAGCGCGACATCCAAAGGTCCACGCCCCGCCAGGCCGAGTCCTGCTGGGTCCCTCAGTGTCTCTGGCCCTCTTCCGCCCACCGCCGTCCCCACCTCGGCCGGCCGACGCCTGTTACTCCGCTGCGTGCTGCTGGGCTTCTTGTTCCTGCAGGCCTCACTTTAGAAGAAAAGATCACACGTTGGGTTAATTCACGACTGCCTCCAAGTACCGGGCCGATCCCCTACATAAGCAGATAGACCCCTTTCAAAAATGGCTACTTTGAGACAAGGTCTCACTTCCCTAGGCTGGAATACCGTGGCAGGATCATAGCTCACTGTGGCCTCAAACTCCTGGGCTCAAGCGGCCCTCCCGCCTCAGCCTCCCAAGGGGCCAGGACTGCAGGCATGAGTCACTGCACCTGTTCAGATAGATTTTTAATCTACTTTTTAAGAAATGACCGTAAAACCTCTAAACATAGTAGATCAATCACATGTGTTAGTTGGTCTCTTTTTCCCAAAGTGCCACTAAAATGGAGTCAAGGAATAAGGTATAAGCCACGAGGACCGCCCACGAGACGGTGGCAAAGGAGACATCAGTGGGAGAGAAGGAAGTCGTTTGGAAGATGGCACGTGGGTGGAATGTTGAAAACGAAACCTAGCACCAAGAAAACACAACCAGAATTCATCCCGCAGAACAGCCTCAAAGGCTTGCAGCTCGGATGCCGCAGGAGAGGAGGTGAGGTGCAGGGCGGGGCTGAACAGGGAGGTACTGGCTGAAGGCTGGAGCCTCAGAATCCCCGCCACCACCCACCCTCCCCACGCCCTGAGCAGCAGGTGAGCGCCCACGCCAGGGCAAGAGAAGGGAGCTTTCCATCGTCCTCTGGAGGGGTGGAACCATGGGAGCCAAGCTCTGAGGCCAAGGGCAAGACAAGAGGGCAGGGTGAGATGCAGAGCTGGGAAGGGTTAGGGCCACACTTGCTTAGTCCACAGTGTTCTCCTGACTTCCTTCTAGAGCACCAAGACCAGAGGGTGTGGGGAAGGGGTTGGGTGTTTATCCCATATGTGTGTCCATTTGGAAGAGAGTACTGATGGACATCTAACAGATGTGAATGCGTTGCAGAAAAAAAGAACAGGTACTTAGAACATTAAGCAAATGATTCCTAACAAGGCAGGAAAGACAAAACCAGAAAGGAAATGTGATCCTAATTCACTAGTTAGTTCTGCAATAAACAATGTGCGGTCTTAGTAAAAATAGTGATGAGTAGGGAGCTAGCTTGAACTCGTGTGGACCTGTCTTGGGAGTGTGGGGACAGACCTGTGCCCGTGGTGGAGGCCGGGCAGAGGGAGGGAAGAGCCACGTGCTTCCTTGCATCCAGAACGGGAGAGGCAGCCACCGAGATAAGCGCATGACTGGAAAACATCGACATGCGCAGGTGTTTGGAGACAGACTTTCCACGGGAAAACAGAGGAGGGCTGGATATGTGACTGAGAGAGGCGGAAGCAGGAAGGCAGCAGGCTCAGTGCTGTCGGAGGGGGTGGAGGCTGTGATGTCAGGCTGGAAGGTGGAAGGAGGCCAGGCATCTGCTGTGAGGGAGGGCGAGACTGCACTTGCCACAGACAGTCAGGAGCGGGCCGTGAGCTGCAAGGGCCCAGCGGGCCGTGAGCTGGCCATGCCCCGGTGCCCACACCGCAACAACTCGCTGGCCACAGCAAGTGCACCACGGCGGTTGAGGCTCCAGCGAAACGAGAAAGGACGGCAGAGGCCGCGACAGATGGACAGGCCGCCTCCAGAAGCGTCAGCTGACGGCCCAAAGCACCACGCAGATGCTGGAACCCAGACAGTGCGGCAGTGAATACCACAGGCGCCACGGAGTGCGGAACCGAGTGCTCAGGAAGTGAGCCTCGGCACACGCGGAGAGCAAGTCTTGTTACTTTCAAATTCACTGTATATGGTATATTTTCAACTTGACGTTTTCCACAAAATGATGTTTCTAAGAGGCATTTGAGCACAATCCAGTCAACATAATTCCAGAAAAAAGCTCTGATTCTGTCTAAAAGTGTAAAATGTGAGCCATTCCAATCAGCCCTTGGAAGTGTCTCTTTCTGGAAGTGTCTCCTCTCTGGCGGAGTCTGCCTGCAGGATGAAGAGAACAAGGCAAGGAAGAAAAGGCAGCTTCCCGCAGGCCAGCCTTGGGGGGAGCGGGGTGGCCTTCCCTGGGGGCTGCGGAGCGTCAGGAGCTGAGAGCATAGCCCCGGAGTGTGGGTTTCCGAGAGAGGCCTCTCGCTGTTTCTCTCCACAGAAGGAGGTGGAGGCTGGTGAGAGCAGGGAAGACGCAGGATGCGTGCTGTAGAAGCTTGGGCTTGTCCTGAGCCTCGGCCTAGCACAGCGGACACGAGATGTCGGGAGAGTCAAGAGACGTCACCGGGGGCCGGGAATCAGAACACTCAGACTAGTGGTGACGGTGGGCTGGCCACCTCGAGACTAGCTCTGGACCCATGACATTCTGAGTGGGCCTGGACTGTGGGGGTTGGCTGAGGACGGCACCGGCTGGGGACAGCTGATGAGATTCTGAATGCTGTCAAGAATGGGAGCAGATTGCGTTTCTCTCGCCAACCCCGTGCTCACCCTCCCTTGACCAGCAGGCTGGCCAGTGGCCTGTCCAGGGTAGCGTCCAGCTGGCTGCCGGCTCCAGACTCGCCCTGCGCCTGGCCACGCAGCCTTTCTAAGTGCATCGTGCTTTTCAGGAGTTCACAAATGAAGAACATTCTAGGAAATCGTTCACAAAAATTTTATGGAGTCTAACTGTGAGAAAAATCTCCATTGCAAGACCTAATAGCACAAACATGTGTAACTGCAATCTCTAGTATTTTCCCGGTATCAGTGGTGGTGAAGTAATGGAGACGCTTCAGACGATGCAGTTGTTCACGTCAACCCAGTCTCGAGAACGGCCTTGTCTCCATTCCAGCGCTTGGGTTCTTCTCACTTGGGCTGACAAACCGGGAGGCCCCTGTGATCACCTTCTCTGGGCCGGGGTCAGTTTGAGTCAGACGGACTCGAACTCTCTTTGCCAGGCTGAGTACCTCTGAGTCAGGCCCTTTGCGGAGGGCTTGGTGTGAGCCAGCACTTCCAGGAAGTCGGCGGTGGTCACTGTGTCCAGCCGGATCCCAGGGAGGTCGCTGCCGTCTGGTTGGAGACACAACAGTGAGAGCACAGCATTGGCCTCCGCCGATCGATGCCCTCGGGGCGCCCTGGACCCTCCTCCAAGACCCAGCACTATGCAGCGCTCTCCGCAGTGAAGGCGGCAGAGGGCCAGACCTAGGGGGCCAGGAGGAGGTCTCTGATGGGCAGCAAGTCAGCTCCGGAGGCCCAGGGAGAAACACAGCTTAAACGGATCGCACAGTGTCAGACGTTGACACAGCGCCTCCGATGGACCCAGCCCGGCAGCAGCCTGCGCCAGAGAAGCAAAAGCCTGCGCCCAGAGGAGACTCACGGCAGGTTGAGGGGACCCGGCAGGACGCCGAGGGAGAGAGGAGCCCCTGCGGTAGGATGCTCTAACAGCGGTCCCTCCGCCAGGAGCCGCAGGCTCGGGCGCCAGGCTCCATCTGCTGGCGACAGTGGGCGTTGCAGCCAGCCTCCCCGAGAGCCCCCCAGCCCTGCCATACCTGACCGGTAGTTCTCGAGGGCATCGAAGACCTTCCTCATGGGCCGCATGGCCGCCTCTCTGCACACAAGCTTGATGTCCGAGCCCGAGTAGCCCTCTGTCTCCTGGAACAGGCCCAGCCACGGTCACGGGCGGGCCCTGGCACCCAATGCCCACACAGATGCGATATGTGCCCTGTGAACATGCCCAGAGCCTCCCGGGGCAGGGTGCTGGGGGGACACTGCTGCTGTCTCAGACACCCTAAGTCCCAGCCCCATCGGACGTGCAGCAAGACCGGAGAGGGGTGGGCCGCCCAGGCAGCCTTGTGGGCCCTCGGGCTCCGATCCTAGATGATCAGGTGGGCAGGCACATCATTCTCGTACTAAGATTGCACCTGCCTTGGAGGACCTCAGACAGCATGGCGCTCCAGCACCTGTGAGAGCAGGTAGCCACAGCCTGGGGACACACCAGTGACCGTGGGTTCCCAGTCACGTGCCAGAGCCCCTCGGTCTGGGAAGGCTTTCATTTAATCATCTCAGCAGCCCTTCAAGGCTCGTCTGCTACCTGGTTTGCAGACAGGGAAGCTGAGGCTCAGGGAGGAAGTGACTCCTCCAAGGTCACACAGCAAGCGGCAGGGCTCTCTGCACCTAAACCCTGTGACTTCTCCCAGCCTGAGTGTTCCCACGTGACAAGGGGCCTGTCCTCACAAAGAAGGGAACTGCTTGGCCCTTGGTGTGTGCCTCAGGCCCCCATCCACCCACGGGAAGGCCCCGCGTGCAAGAGGGTCGGGCGGCAGCCCCTGGCCTGCACCCCCAGCCACTCGCCTGGCTCAGCAGGCCGTAATCCAGCTCGGCGCGCAGCTCCAGGGCACCGCTTGTGCTCACGGGGGGCAGCCAGTGGCGGATCATGGCCTGCCGGGCCTCGCAGCCGGGCAGGCCCACCAGGATCCTCTTCTCTAGCCGGCGCAGCATGGCGCAGTCCAGCTCCCTGCAACGGGCGGAGACGGGAGCTGGGTGGGCTGCGAGCACACCTCCAAGCGGCGGCCGCAGCCTAGGAACCAGTCGGCTTGGCAGGAAGCGGTTCTGCATGTCAGCGGCCACCCTGCGTCTGTGCCCACGTGACTGGCAATTACTTCGTGGTGTTTGGAGAAAGACTTGTGGAAGGAAGGGAGGCAAGGGAGGGCAGGGAAGAGACAGATGGAAAGGAGGGAGGGAAGGAGGGGGGAGAGAGGAGGGAGGGAGGGAGAGAGGAAGAAGGGGAGACATACCCTGAACTCTTCCCATGGAGGAAGTAATTTCAGGCCTCTTGATTTGGGGGTGCCCAACCAACAGACAGTAAACACGAGTATGGCCACTGCAGCCGTAACATGAACTGTGCAAGCTGATCTTGCTGGTGAGTAACTCGGGCACGCTGTGAGCAGCACATCAGCTTCTCCAAGACTGTCCCTTTCTGGAGTGAACGGCCGCCCCACCCCGTTGCGCTGGGAAACTTTACACCTGCGCTCCTTGCCAGGTGCCCAGGGCAAGTGCAGCCCTTAGACACTCACGCCTGCTCCTCCGGACACTGTGAGGCTGGGCTCACACACGTCTGAGTCTGCAGGCCGTTTCCCTAAGCTTCTCAGTGTGAAATTCACCAACAGACAGAAAAGCAGGACAAGACAACAGAACAGCCATCTCCTGCCATCTCGATTCGACAGCAGTCCACATGTGGCCATCCCTGCCTCCCCCAGTCATCTGTTTCGCTGGATGATTCCATGCATACTGCATCAGGAAACCTCATTCCCAAATGCGCCAGCAGGCATTACCAGGAAAGGACGTTTCTTAACATGGCTGCAGCACCACTGTGACACCCAGCGATGCAGACTCTGCCATGCCTCCGATGCTTGGTCCAGACTCAAATCTCTCCAACCTTCCCCAACTACCTTTGATCGTTTGTCCAACCAGAATCCAATCAAGGAACATGCACTGCAGATAAAACCTCTCTTCAGTCTAGGCCATTCCACTTGCCCTGAGCCCTTTGGAAAGGTCAGGCCAGTCGTGGAAGTGTCCACGGTGGGTTTGCCTGATGTTTTCCTCACGGTGTCCTGTAGCTGGTTCCTGTCCCTGTGCTCCCAGATGGAAGACAGTCCTAAAACTTGATTTGATTCTGGGTTAATGTTTTGGCAGGCTTACATCCTAGGTGAGCTGTGTTTTCCACTACATCACAGCAGGACCTACGTGTCTCTGCGTCTCTAGAGGTGTGCTGTTTGACTCTCTGGTGGCCACGGAACTCTCCATTGTACAGGAAGCAGCTTCCTTGGCAGGTAGTGAGTCTTCCACATACGAAACTTTGGCACCACGTGAATACCCAGTACCACCCTCTTTCAACTAGTGGTTTTAGCATCTGTTAAGGATCTTTGCTTGAATCAAGTGTTTCACTAGAAGTTGCAAATGGTAGGGTTTTTTAGTACTTTTTTTTTTTTAGAAATAGAAATAGAGTCTTGCTCTGTTGCCCAGGCTGGGGAGCAGTAGTGCAGTCAGCTTACTGTAGCCGCCAACTCCTGGGCTCAGGTGATCCTCCTCGGCCTCCCAAGTACCTGAGTCTAAAGGTGCACACCACCACACCTGGCTAATTTCTTTTACTTTCTGTTGAGACAAGGTCTCACTATGTTGCCAGGCTGGTCTTGAACTCTTGGGCGCAAGCGATCCTTCCACCTCAGCTTCTCAAAGTGCTGGGATTACAAGTTTGAGTCACCACACCCGGCCTAAATGTCATTTTGAAATATACTTTTCAAAAAACACATTCGGACTTTTCACTGCAAATGTAATCTTTGGAGTCATTTGGGAATTCTGTAGCATGACCATGTAGAGCAGGGCCCTCCCTCATCTGGCTGCTCTGAATTGCCATTCCTACCTCAACAGACCATTTTGAGTGTGAGTTTGTGAACTCTGTGTATGTCAAGTTTTCACGCCCTGGAGGGGAGGGAAACACCAGTCTGATTTTCCAGGATAAAAATCTAGAAAGGTCTGTGTGTCGACCTGGCTCAGCCACTGACGAAGATCTCAGTGGAAACGTCACCACCGGGCGATTCTCATTAGCAGAAATGCAGAGGATGTCCAGAATCCCTCCCGCCTTTCTTTCTTTTTGAATCTATGTTACAGTATTTCTTTTTAAATTGGAAGAATAACATGAAAACATTCTTCCAGAGAGCACAGTTGAACCCTCAGTCGGCGTGCTCAGGGTCCTTACAGGTGGTGTCTTTTCTTCGCCCGTCGTTGCTCCCACCCTGAGCTGAGTGTCCGCAGTCCCGGGCACCTCACGAGCAGTAGGGTCACCTGCTTCTCGTTTGCGCCCACGGTATTCTTTATGAGCCTCGACTGTTGGAATCCCTCTCCCATCGGGGCCTCGGCCACCTCTCTCCTCCCGTGACTGCCACCTCTCTCCTCCCATGACCGCCCCCTCGCTGGCCCCACATGTCCCTTTGAGGCCCAGGGTCAAGGACAAGAAGAGCCAGGCTTCCCGGCAGAACCGTCCGCCTCAGGGTGTGTTGTCTCTGCTCCCCCGCCTCCTCCTGTCCACAACTCGGCGACAGGACTCAGCCAGCGAGCAGCACTCAGGATGCTGCGTCCTCAGCTGGCTGGACATCAGCCCTGCACGTAAGCCACACAGACTCCATGTCCTCCGTCCCCGAGGATGTTCCAGCCGAAGGCCGGCTGTGCTCCTAAGGCCAAAATAAAAACTCTTCACTGCTGCTGAGCTCTAAATGAACTAGGACTGCACTGGAAGCAGGCAGACACAGTCCCCTCTGCTTCCCCCTGAAGGGGCTCTAACGCCATAAGCCTACAGAAGCAAAGGGGATGGGAGACGGATGGAGACAAGTGCCGAAAAGCTGGAAAGCAGAAGGACACGTCCACGCCGGCCCTGTGGACCTGAGAGCCAGAATCTGCAGTGAAGCCAGGAAAGTCTGATCTGAGCCCCAGAATCCCCAAGAGACTTGGCACTGGCAGTGTCTGGTGTCCTCAGAGGCGAGGGTGAGGGTGGGTTGGAAACAGGGGGCTGGTCATCTGTTTGTGTGAGAAACAGAACGCAGGTTCCTTCCCCACCTCCAATGGCAGGGGCCGGCTCGCGCAAGTCCTAGCAGGGGGTACGGTGGAGGGTCTCCAGGCTGGGACCGCCAGGCGCAGTTGAGAACAGCATGCTGTGTTGAAGCAATGAGATGAAGGCCCTCTCTCCCTGGAATGCTGGCAGCCAAGCTCTGACCGGCCCAGGCAGGAGATGGCAAGAACCTTGCCTTGGCAGCCTGGGCCGCCAGAGAAAGAGCTCAGTGTGCAAAGACCACGGACTCTGGGGTTCCCCACCACAACAGCCCAGTCCGGTCCCAACACATGGGGCCACTGTCAACAAACCTTTGCCTCACGCACAGAGCTTCCCACGGGCTTCCCTCGTGCGCCTCTCATGGCCAAGGAGACTCACATCTGTGGAGCGCCTCTAACGTGAAGGCACAGCCCAAAGCAAGTCAACGGGAAACATAAAAGAATCTTGAAGAAACAGAATCCAACGGGGGAGACGAAACTTAAAAAAATTAGGGTTCTTAAAGAGATAAAAGAAAACATCACCCTGAAACAAGAAGAGTGTCCATTCTGGGCGGCTAACAGAATACTGAGGCTGGGGGATGGGCAAAGAAGGTGCCTCTCTCGCAGTCCTGGAGGCTGGGAGTCCAAGATGAATGCACCTGAGCGTTGGTGTCCCGTGAGAGCCTTCTCGGCTTCAAAGACGCTGCATCCCCCAGGGGGCAGGAAAGCGGTGTCCTCACGGGGAGATGGGAGGTAAAAGAGAGAGACCAAACGCCCCCGTGAAGCTCTCAGATAACAGCATCAATCCATTTGTGAGGGTGGAGCCCTCATGGCCTGAACAGTTCCCAAAAGGCTTCATCACCAACACGGTTGCACTGGGGATCGGGCTTCCAACACATGAGTTCTGGGAGACACATTCGGATCACAGCAAGAGGATGCCATTTAGAAAGAACGTCCCAGAACATCAACAGCAAAACACAGTAACTTGGGAATATAAAACACGGTGGAAGAAATTAAAAGCACAATGGAAAGCTTAGAAGATAAAGCTGAGAAAACCTCCCACAGGGTAGGACAAGAAAGACACACATGGGGAGAGAGAAATCCACAAAGGGAGAGAAAGGTGTCTTTTAAATGAGAGCATTACTACAGGAGAGCCAACATCCACCTGACAGGAGTTCCAGGAAAAGAGAACAGAAACCAGAAGGGGAGGAATCAGTGGAATGACCCACAGGGACTCCAGAACCCTGGGAAGTGATTCCCTGTATCTGGAACATCAGCGAGAGCCTATACCTGACTGGTGCTAACAGCAGCAGTGTCCCAAGCATTTTGCAGCTATCAACTCATTTAATTCTGAGAACAGCCCGGCAAGGTAGGTCCTAGGACTTTAACTCAGCGAGTCCCTAGAGCTCGCGTCTCACTTAACCGCAAGTGGATTCCAACTCACATCATGGTGGAGTTTCAGAACCCAGAGGACAAAGAAACGCGAGCACTTCCAGAGTCAGAAAGACAGGTGACTCACAACGATGGCTCGAGCAGACTCCTCGACAGCAAAGTGAGACATTAAGATAGAGCAGTGCCTTCGCAGCTCTGATGAAAAATAATTGCCAGTGCAGAAACTGAGCTCCTGAATACACTATCAGCTAAGCTGGAGGTTAGAATACAGCTGCTGTCAACATGTAGAGCCTTCAGGAAAACGTACCTCCCATGGACCCTCTATGAGGAAATGCTGGAGGGGAGTGAGCAAACCTAAGGGCACAAGGAGTTCAAGAAACGGGGTCAAACAGAGAGAAGGCCTCTCCAGGGTGACAGGAGAGCCATGGGCTTACCAGCTCAGAGCTGGTAAGAAGGCTCTGGAAGACATGTTTCCAGGAAGGTGAAATTGGTCGAATACCTGACCTGTCTGAACAAATTAAGAGTCATTCTAGGTTGGGAGTG